TCTTTCAAGACTAGATTCATACCTTTTAAAGATCAGGACTCCTCATTTGAATCGACTTCGAAAACTTCCCCTTCAGTTCTTGATAAAGACTTCAAATCCGAAAATCTCTTCTTGTGTTGTTGTGATCTATCCAAACTTTGAATGGATTTAGAGATAAATCAAAAGATTTTGGAAGTTTTTGGGAGAGTGGCTGGCAGCAAAGCAAAAGGAAGCAAGAAAAATTGAGGGCTAGGGTTCGTCTGAACCCAGCCCCTTTTTATTTTTTAGCCCATTGGTCAAAACGATGTCGTTTTGCCATTTTTCTTCTCAGCCCTTCAAGTTTCCAGCCTTTATAAAAAATAGTCCATTGCCTTCTAATTTTATCATTTAGCCCCAATTAAAATTGAGTTATGACAGATGCCCCCTCTTTACTTTTCTTTTGTAAAAGGAAAAGTAAGAATAAAAGAATAACCCAATTTTAAGCTTTGAAAACAATGTATAAGTGAAAGTTGCAGTCTTCATCTTATCTTTTACAAGATACAGTCTTCATCTCATCTTTTGCAAGATGCGGTCTTCATCTCTCCTTCTTCCTTAGATGCGGTCTTCATTTAAGATGTGACTTCTAAGATGCGGTCTTCATCTTATCCTTTGCGAGATGCGGTCTTCATCTCTCTTTCTTCCTCAGATGCGGTCTTCATCTAGGATGTGACTTCTAAGATGTGGTTTTCATCTTATTTTTTGCAAGATGCGGTCTTCATCTAGGATGTGACTTCTAAGATGCGGTCTTCATCTTATCCTTTGCGAGATGCGATCTTCATCTCTCCTTCTTCCTTAGATGTGGTCTTCATCTACGATATGACTTCTAAGATGTGGTCTTCATCTTATCTTTTGCGAGATGTGGTCTTCATCTCTCTTTCTTCCTGAGATGCCACTTCATTTCTTCTTCTTCCTAAGATGCAACTTCATCTAGGATGTGATTTTTTTTTTTAGACGCAACTTCGTATTTCTTGAGATGCAACTTCATCCCTTCTTCTTCCTAAGATGCAACTTCATCTAGGATGTGATTTTCTAAGACGTAACTTCGTCTTTTCTGAGATGCAACTTCATCCCTTCTTCTTCCTGAGATGCAACTTCATCCCTTCTTCTTCCTAAGATGCAACTTCATCTAGGATATGATTTTCTGAGACATAACTTCCTCTTTTCTGAGATGCAACTTCATCTAGGATATGATTTTCTGAGACGTAACTTCATCTTTTCTGAGATGCAACTTCATCCCTTCTTCTTCCTGAGATGCAACTTCATCTAGGATGTGATTTTCTGAGACATAACTTCGTCTTTTCTGAGATGCAACTTCATCCTTTCTTCTTCTTGAGATGTAACTTCATCTTTTCTGAGATGTAACTTCATCCCTTCTTCCTCCTAAGATGCAACTTCATCTAGGATGTGACTTTTTGAGACGTAACTTCATCTTTTTTGAGATGCAACTTCATCTCTTCTTCTTCCTGAGATGCAACTTCATCTAGGATGTGATTTTCTGAGATGTAACTTATCTTTTTTGAGA